GCTTGAAGAGACGAAACGTTTCAGAGTTCGGACGCCAGGGCGAAAATCAAGGAGAGTATCAGGACATCGGCGCGTTGCGATGCTGTCCGCAGATTCTCTCCCTTTTTCGCTCTGCAGTCTGCAGTGGGGTCTGATCCTGTCGGCCGATATTATTATAGTCTTCGTCGCTCACTCCGAGCTTTGGTCACCGTCGTCGCCGGCACAACAGTCGTCTTCAGCGCCTGCGCAGTACCGTCCAGCGCACTACATCGCGCACTAGCCGCTCGTCACCAACTGTCGTCATCGCTCTCGCAGCCGTCGTGGCCTGGCTTCGCCCGCTGCCATGGTCGTCTTCGCGTCCAGAGCAAACGCGTCCGCGACTCTCGTCCGCCCCGCAGGACCGGCCGTGAGAGCTGTGTAGAGGTGACCAGTGGCCATCATTATCTGCATCACCACCCACTCGCCATCACGTACCCCCCGCACATCGCCTCGTCTTGTCCGATGCCTTTTTTTTTCTTTAAAATTGTTATATTTTTTTTTTTTTTTTACAACGTAAGTTGTATTGTTTCTCATTTTTCGGCATAAATTCTATCAAAATTGTTTAAAAAAATTTCATCAAATTATATGATGTATAATAAAATTATTCTGTTATAACACAGTAAAATGTTGTTTATTGTTTTTAGCATTAAAGAGTACGATTTTATTTATATCAACATAATAATGGCCCACTGAACATGATCATGTTCACGTGCAGTGAGTGAGGGGGCCCACTGGGGCACCATAAAGAACATTAACAAACAATTTTTTTGTTATGTACAAAATCTCAATAAAATAGTACATTGAAGCCTGAATGTTTTGGCCACTTAAATGTATAACAATATGTTTAACGGTGTGGCGGCGTGGCGACATTTTTTCTGTGTAAAGACATAACACTTTTAAAATATTTTGAATCTTTTTGAGTTTTTTATAGTCGATTAAAATTAAAATTTCTATTTTATAAATAACGACAAAAAATTGTTTTTTTGGGTCAAAAAGCTTGTTAATTTAATAGAAGGTCCCTCGTAATGAATCTGTCTTGTTAGAATATGAGATGTGTATTATAAGTTATTTATTTTTCAAATGTACAACAGCCATTAGGTATTTTATATATTATTATAGTTCGAATAGTTTCAACTTTCAAGTATTTTTTAATAACGATAACACGGAACTCTGTATAGGCTATTTAGCTACGTTACTGTTGCAAGTGTATTTTTGTCGGTATCTTATAATTTGGCAATAATATTAATATATTGCTTTCAGTTTAATCGTCGTATACGTCTTGTGACTTGCCACCCCAATACCCCATTTTAGTTATCGGAGATTGATCCACAATAGCTGTCTTGCACTGCCACTGTATATATTTATATATTAATATAATAATTTATTATAATATATTATATTGATTTTCAGTCACACGCGGACAGCCAAGCTGAATGCACACGTTTTTATGCCTCCGTGTTATGTTTAAAGTAGTGTCGTTTAAACTTGTCGGAAATTTTTGTACTTTATATCAATCAACGCAGTTTTTTAGTGAAGCTGTGACCCCAGTGTCTACCAGCTGCAAAAATCAACCTTCATTTGTGGAAATAGATTTAAGTTTACTAAGTATACGTGCATGGTTATATAATATACCTAATCACACTTCAAGGCATCGCCGCGGCGGTGACCTTTGTCCACGCGATTTCGACAATATTAGATATTAATATTATAATCTACGTACTCGACTTTAATTAATCGATTTCGTAGTCCGTAAAAACTTATCTATCAACACAGTAAACATTTAAATATGGATAACCGTAAACAAAATAATACAAATAATAATAACAAGACTAAAAATGCAATTGTAATTAAATCCAAGCCACCGAAGAAACCTGCCAATAATGATAATAAACGTAATCACTCAAGCTCGTCCAATTCAGAACCATCGTCACCAAATTTACTTCAACATGTAAGCAAAAAATTATTTGTGACTCAAAATCGGTTTGAATTATTAAAATCAACCGAACCAGCTGATGAAATTACTGAAACTATTATAGAGGAAAAGCAGTCTGCTGATCCAGTTCTCACTTACTCTAAACCACCCCCTCCAATCTTCATGCGAGGCGTATTAGACTTCCCCGGTCTTTGTACAGAATTAATCGGTGTCGATAACTTTATTTGCAAGTCAACGGCTGATCATTTAAAAATCCAAACCTCCAATCCCGGAGCATATAGAACATTAGTCCAATACTTAAGAAATGAACATGCTGAATTCCATACATTCCAGCTAAAGGAAGATAAGCCAATGCGCATAGTTATTCGTAACTTACACCCATCTACTTCAACGGAATTGATCAAAAGTGAACTTGAACATCGCCTATACGAAGTTAGACAAGTTACGCAGGTTACTCACAGAATTAGTAAAATACCCCTGCCATTATTTTTTGTCGACCTCGAGCCGACAGATCATTCAAATGAAATCTTTAAACTTGAATCCTTACTGCACACAAAAATTAAAATAGAAGAACCTCATAAACCAAAAATTATCAGCCAATGTCATAACTGCCAAGCTTATGGTCACACTAAAGCCTACTGCGGATATAGTTCTCGCTGTGTCCGGTGCGGTGATGACCACTCCTCATCTGTCTGTCCAAACTCAGGACAAGACCCAATGCGATGCGCCCTCTGCACAGGTAACCACCCAGCAAACTACAGGGGATGTACAGTTTATAAAGACCTCCAGCAACGTAAGAAAACCAACCTAAATAATCACAAATTACATGTAAACTCTAGTTATAAGTCTAACAATGTACAAGATAGCCACCCACGTAATACCACTCCCTACAATCCTCCTTCTGACCAATCTCAAACGTATGCCCAGGCAACTCAAGGTCAACATGTAAAATCTGATATTCCTCCGCCAACTCCTGATATTAATTCTTTAATGTCAAGCTTTGTAAGCGAGCTTAAGACTCTTATCAATCCGTTAATCTCATTACTTACTCAAGTAATCTCAAGTCTATTGGCTAGGAAAAATGAATAATTCTGTTACAAATAAGTCCCTCCTAGCTTTACAATTTAATGCTAATGGTCCAAAAAATCATCTAACTTAATCCTAACGAGATCTCCTTAACTAATAACCAACAAAAAAAAAAAAATAAAAAATAAAAAATATAAATAAATAAAAATAAAAGCCAATAGGAAGTGTCACTACTGGGTGGCTTCTTCCAACAACTCATTCACGCCTTTTTGTAAATTAGCCCATATACTTATTGTGTCTCTGGGTACAGATGGTATATTTCTTTTAAAAAATAAAAAAAATAAAAGTTAATTTACTAAATATACAATAATTTACATATACAGTTTGTCCCAAAAGTCCCGTATCACCCTTAATATCTCCATGTAAAATCACTATATTTAAACGTGGTTTTTTTTACAGTACTAAGTATGAAAATTCTGATTGAATGGCATAAAATTCATTTATTTTTTTCTTTAAATTCAAAAATTTTCAAAAAAATTTTTTACGCATTTAAGAATTTAAAATTTTTAAGATAGCCATTTTGTTGAGCATATTTTTTAAAACAGTTCAAAAAAAAAAATATTAAAATTAAATAAAAATTGACCAAGTTAGAGCAAGTTATGTTTTTGAATAATTGTAGTAAAAAAATAAATTATTGTTTCACATTTCAATAATGAAATATCTAATTTCAGCACACGACCATACTTTTACATTCCTAATTTATTTTTTTACTACAATTATTCAAAAACATAACTTGCTCTAACTTGGTCAATTTTTATTTAATTTTAGTATTTTTTTTTTTTGAACTGTTTTAAAAAATATGCTCAACAAAATGGCTATCTTAAAAATTTTAAATTCTTAAATGCGTAAAAAATTTTTTTGAAAATTTTTGAATTTAAAGAAAAAAATAAATGAATTTTATGCCATTCAATCAGAATTTTCATACTTAGTACTGTAAAAAAACCGCGTTTAAATATAGTGATTTTACATGGAGATATTAAGGGTGATACGGGACTTTTGGGACACACTGTATATTAATACAGTAGCTTAGTTAATTATAGCATAACATTTTTTACAAAACATTCCCCCTGTTCGGGATTAGAATTAAAATATTAAATTACATTTAAAACTCATATCGTTATAAGGTCAAAAAGGTGCCATGATTTTTACATTAATGAGGAAAATAGTGAAGACGAATTTATGGAGTATGAATAATTAAATTGAGAACAACTAGCATATCATGAACATTCGTATATTAAAACGTAGATTACTGTATAAAAAACTAATTCATAATTAATTTACTGTAAATAACAATGAAATACAATATTAAATACTTTTTATTGTTTGCTTAAGTCACAATATAATAAAAATTACCATGAAAACATTTTTTTCCAACTTCTTTTTTTTTTTTGATCCAGTGTGCAACGGGAGGCAGCGGTAACCGCTAATATACACATTGGTTATTACCATTTACCACAGCGTATATATGACCAAACTAAGCGAGACGTCTACCGTAACTAAGTGATACAGCGAAGTGGAGTACCTACATCACTACGGCGAAAAAACAAAGCGAATATAATAAATTATAATACATTAATATAGCTCGTACCTACGACTAATAACGCAAATTCGCGAAAACAGACGAAAAACTAAACTCGCGGCAAAGAGCCGACGGCTGCACAGTAAACCTGCCCTAACTCGGTACAGACGCTCAATGTGGAGGACGTAGATGGTTTGTCCGGCGTCCGGTGAACCCGACAGGTGTCCGGCCCGGATACAAAAGTGAAAAAGTGCGACGTTTAATCAAACTCTTTTGTAGCAACAAGTTTAATTGCTGGTGGGGGAGGGAAGGGGATGTTTATATATACTTGTTATAAGACCATATAAACTCAGTCTGCCTGGTCAATCGCACCCATAGATAAGTATAATATAATCGCACCACAACAGAACATTTGTCTCAGGAATTTCTTGGTCCGGTTCCACAATGAACGCGGACGTCTATAGGAGTCACCGCGGTTACCGCAGGTTCCGTCCGCTCATCACCGCGGGTTACCGTGTCCGTTACCACAAGCCGCAAGCGGCAAGCCGTCGGATAACTGCGTCTCGATCACTCTATTTTCTAGAGCAGCAGCTGCTAGTGTCATCAAAGTGGCGACAGACGATACGATACGGCGCACTGGGAACCGGCGGAAAAGGCGACTCCAAGGACGTACCCAACGGCAATCCGACCTCGGGAGCATCTCCCCCGGAATTTTCACCCACGGCCATATTGGGTAGCGACAGAGATCTCTTCTTCGGCGGCAAGCTAAGGAAATCGCCTGCAGTTTCCGACGGTTTATATTTTTCCTGGAGATCGTCTTCAACCGGAAGTATTATATTAGGCGCTGATTTCCATCCCTGCGACTCTGGTGCTCTGGCTCCGGGATTTGTCCGAACGGCCATGTTTGTTAAAGGCACAAACCGTTTGTGAACCGGCAAACTATTAAAATCGCAACTGCCTATATAACGGTGTCGGTCTATCGGACCGAAGTTCGTCAAACACCAATTGCATAATTTCTTTTGCGGACAGGTTCTGGATAACTGATGATTCACTGTCGTTTTCTGCACTGTTCGACATGTTGATATTACGATATACGTTGAATATAAACAGATTATTTGAAAAATAAGATTATAAATACTTTTAGACGAAAGTAGGTAAATTTATTCGTAATGTTCGCTGGACGTATCAAATTAATGAATAGGTACTGATTAGTAATGAAAAATTAATTTTCCAAACACTTAATAATATGCCCTCCACAACAAGATGTTTGTTGTTTTTGTAAGACTGAATGTATCTAAATTGTATACATACCTAGGTACAACAATTATTTATTAAATTCTTATTTTTATTTAATAGTTATACTGCTCAAGTACAAAACTAAAGGTTATTTTAGTATTTAAACGAAACCTATCATTTTTAGATTTGTAAATATTGGATATGACCAAAAGATAATTTCAGATAAAAATCTAAATTTGCGATTTTGAAGGTTTATGTGGAACTACGGTGTACAGTGGGATATTTTCATAAAAACCTGGCCAAAATATAAAGATTAATCTGAAATTGAGTTTTTTTCTCTATGATGACTACTATTTTACATTTAGATTTAATATTGTAAACTCACTAATAAACTATTACAATAATTGAAAAATACAAATGTTCTGGGCATTTTGTTAACTACCTACCTAAACTTTTCATTAAACTGTAAAAAAAGATTGTCTGGATCTATCTTGGAAGTCTACTAAATATAATGGTGAAGCTTGTATTTGTATATTTTGTTTCAATCCATGTAGTTATAGTTAAAATTGTATACTGATTTGATATTTTATAAATATATATACATTATAAAATAATGCATGCCTCTAGCTCTAAGTAACGAGTCTATTATTTTAAATGTGAAAACGGCTGTAGAAAACATAATAATATCAGCTTAGTTAAATTTGGAAAACTTCTTGTACACCGTAATACCGACCACAAACAGTTACAGGACTCGTCTGTAATACCATATTTTGAGTCAGGGTTTGCCAACCTTTTTATAAAAGGTGAGAAACATTAAAAATTTCAAGTTACTCATAGTGAAAAAATTTGAAGATTGAAGATATATTATGTCGATTTTGAATTTTTTATAATATACATTAAATATTATAATACCTCCCTGTCGATATATTATTGACATAGGAGTGCGCAAGAATTTTTCACAGGGTGTGCGGAATTATTTTAGTAGGGGTTACTTGACCTACCACAAAACAGTAAGATACATATTGTCTCTATATTATAATAATTAGTTTATAATAAATTTAAATTTTAAAATAAAACAATTACTAGTTTTCATATTACATATAAAACTAAATTTACTTAATATACACTAGTCAATAGCATTTTTATTTATAATGGTAATCTTATTTAGATTGGTGTAAGTGTTTAAACTCATCAATAGTTTCCTCATATACTCTTTAATGGTTATAAAATAAAAACAATTACTTAGTTTTAAATTATAATTTAACTAAAACTTTTAATATTGGTACAACAAAAAATAATGACTAGCTACATAACACAATATTTAGGATATACAGAGGTGGGGTGATAAGTGATATAAATAATTAAACAATGTTTCATCAACAATTTAAAGTAGGCACACATTTTTGCAGGATGTGCAGCTGCAGACCCCGTGCGCACGCCTATGATTATTGATAATTGCTCATTCAAAAATCGCATGTTGTTAAAATATTGTTTTTATATTACTAACTAATATGTAATTATTAATTTATTAATTATTATACATTATTATTTATCGTGGTTGAAATTTTATTTTTATTTTATTGAAAATTGAAATTCTAACAATAATTACTATTACAATTAGGTATGAATTTTCTATGATATTATTATGTTACCATAGACTTTAGTTTAATGTAGGTAACCTGTTTCTCGTGGCTAATACTTCTTTAGCTTTTTAATTTTGGGCTATATCTCATAGGCGCAATTTCAACTTTTAACTTGGGGGGGCTGAATATAGGTATATTTAAGGCAAGCAGACCATTGCAATATAGCATATTAAAATTGTATGTCCTAAGTTTTATGGGTGGGCTAAGGCTAAGTTTGGGGGGGGGGGGGTAGCCCCCCTTTTATTTGCAAATATGGTATACCTACTATATAATATAATATACTGAAGCAGCATAGAGCTTGTAATCAAAATGAAAATTTTCTATTTTAATTTTAGTTTCACTTACCTATCGATATGTTTTTTCCAGGGATGGAAAACGTTTTTGAAAACGTTTTTAAAAAACGTTATTAAACGGAAAAAAATGAAAAACGAAAACAATTAATAAAACGAAAACGAAAAAAACGAAAAAACGAAAACAATTAATAAAACGAAAACGAAACAAAACAAAAAATGAAAACAATTAATAAAACGAAAACGAAATAAAACAAAAAACAAAAACAAAAACGTAAAACGGAAATAAATTATAGTATTATACATTATTTAATTATTTTTGCTCAATGTGTAAGTGCAGATTTTTTATTTTTATTCAAAGATGTATTTTACATTTTTATTTTATTTAATATTTTAGTATTTTACAATTACCAATATGTTAATTTTCTGAGTTATTATTACTGGATTATTTTTATTATTTACTCTAGAAATCTGAAATAGTGTTTCACTTTAGTCTTTGAGACTTAAGTCTTTACTTTTGGGTTTTTAATCTTTACCAATGCACTTTTAAAATTTAAATATTAAGGATAATTAATTTGAATTTTTAACTTTCAAATGCATTTCTATATTGCGCGGTACTATTATAACTTAAAAGTTAAAATTCACGAGTTATAAGCTATAGTTACTAGCTATAAGAATATATTATATATAAAAAAAAAAATTATCAAAAACGTTATTTGGAAACAATAAGAAAATAACGTTTTTAAAAACGTTAATCAAAAACGCTATGGAAAAATAACGTTTTTAAAAACGTTAATCAAAAACGATATTGAAAAATAACGTTTTTAAAAACGTTAATCAAAAACGTTTAAAAACGTTAAACAAAAACGATATTTTTTAAATCAATAAACAAAAACGAAAACGAAAAAATTAAAAACGTTTTCCATCCCTGGTTTTTTCTGACTTAAATTTAAAATAATAAACCTATTGATTTTGTAACTGTATGATTTGTATAATATTACATAATATCGATTTACATATTTGTTTTATGATTTGCATAATTACATTTTTAATAAAATTTCCCTCTTTTTCGACATAAAATACCTATCGATTTTACATTTCTACGATTTAAATTTTGACCAACGTGACTAGAAAAGTCAAAAGCATATTTGATATGTATAAAGGCAAAAATCAGAAAATCTTTATTGCAAAAAGGTCTTTAGATTGCCAAAAAAAAAAAAGAGGAGAAACCTTGCCGAAAATTCAAAAATACAGTGTAGAAGTAGGTATTTATGGGCAGAACCTAATTGAAGCAACTTTTAAAAGTGGATTCCAGTGTTTCACAAACTACAACAGGTCGGTAGGCTGTTAACATTTTTTTTTCGGCTTAGCTATGGGAATGATATAAAAACATACCTAGAAATATGAGCTACAGAGCATTGAGGATATAGAGAAGTATTACCAGAGGCTAGAGTATAAATAATACCAATATAAAACATTCAATAAATCAATAAAAAAAAATAAAGTATTATTATTTATTACATTATTACATTAACAACAATTATTTTCCTATTCAGTCTGTTATTACCCACTTAATCATTGTCAAATAGACAATCAATAAGGAGTTAATTCTGTATTGAACGTAACAGAAAATTGTTATTAGTGACAAAAAATAATAATTAATATAAACCTAATTAAAAATTACCTTACATATTATATTAAAGATAACTTGAGTAATTAAATCACACGGAAAAAATAAAATGAATGTAGCCAAAAAAAATGGGACAACCATTACTTGATAGTTGTTAATAACATCAAAAATTAATTTTTATGTTTTTAATTTTTATTAATGATTAACAGACAAAATAATAGATCTGTTGTAAAACTTAATTTTAAAACTTTATAAACTTGATTCCTAATTTAATCCTTACACTGTTATTTGTATTTTTACAAAATATGTCTATACAATTGAAAATATATTTTAAACAGATTTAAAAATCTACTAAAGATTTACTTTAAAAATATGAACTACTTTGTGATCAAATCACATTTTAATTGTCGTTCATTATGAATAAAATTACATATATGATGTATCAACAAAAAATGAAAATAATATAACACCCATTGTTTTAAAAATTATCTATAATATTAAATAATTTTCAATTGTACAGTTTAATTACGTAGCTGGTGAAGCTGAGCCGGATCTAGAACCCGATCTACTCCTGAAAATAAAAAAATTATTGTTACAAAATCAGTAAATTAAATGTTTTTCAACATACTACTATAAAGTTACACAATCCAGATTTTAAATAGGGAATCTAAAAATATGATCAAACATGAAGTATTTTCATAGGCGTGCGCAGGAATTTTGTATGGGGTGTGCCATGAAGAAAATTCGGCCGCTTTCCCTTATATGGGCTTAAGCAAATCTAACCTAACCTTAATCTAAAAAAGGATAAATTTAATGCAAAATATCAATTCATAAAAATATATATTGATTAAATGTTGTGCTTCACAAAATGTTGATATATTTTTACAATAAAGTATATACCTATATACCTAATGGCTATTAACCTACATTAGAACATAAAAAATAAAATTATCCAGAGAACCACGAAGTTGTTCAGTCTCTTTTTTCCTATTTATCTTAATTCTGAGTTCCTCAGTACCCCCCATATCTTTCCTTTTTACTCCTGACATAATGTCTAATGTATTTAACACATACAACTCAAGGCTCAATATGCACACAAATACACAATTTAAAATAAACGTGAATACTCGT